TGTCTCTGGCATTCACCAGGACTGAGATCAGATAATCCCTGGCCTGGGAGATGAGGAGAGGGCAGGGTCACCCCTCGGACCTGGTAGATGTTCAGGTTGGAACAGGCTTCACCTGAATCCACCTACAGTGTATTTAAACGGCAGCAAGAACCTGGTCGACGGCTCCTCTGACAACTGTTTCACACAGAAAACAGTCACAGCAGCTCCCAGCTCGTTTTCCAGCCCAACTAAACTTGGAATTTCCAAGACATATTTAACAAGTAATTCTCAGCTGTTTGCAGCCTCCATGAAACACAGAGCAGCGTTTCACATAATGATCTAGAAAGTTCTAGACGTCAGCATCCATCACATCAGAATCTGCACTCAGGAACAGGCTAAAACTTTCTCCAACTCCGGGAACAAGTTTCCAGTGTTTCTCCCAGCAGCAACACAGCCCCTCCAACAGGGCTGCACTGACAGGTGACAGAGTCTCAGCAGCACTGGTGAGTTCAGCTTCTCCAAACATGGCTGTCAAAATACACACAATACTCTGACACAAAACACACAGACACTGCTCAGTGGAAATCCTGAAAAGTGTAGTCAGGACATTTCATGGAAACCCAGCCAGCGCTTCATGACGTGTCACAGTCGACAACGAGGGCGTACCCACACAGCTTCGGCTTTGTTTAGGCCGTTAACTGATAAGTCGACTCACGTGTGCATTTGTTTCACCACAAACAGCTTCACCTGCTCCATCTCACAGTTCAACACCTGCAGCAGCTCTGCCCTGACAGCACACTGATAAGAGGCCGGAGCCTCGAGCGCTGTTGTCAGAATATTTCTCTCTCACAGGAAACAAGACTTCTACTCATTTTATTTTTACAGCCGACCCTCCTGGCTCCAATGCTGCTTCTTGCCAGACTTTGGTTTTAATGACAACTTTAACTCTCACTTCTCATGCTGCCAAATAAAAACACCAAATGCTGCTTCACTTTCAGTCTCGTCTTCTTGGATCGCTCCGCTCGTCCTGTCCTGCCTCGGAATGGCGGAGAAGCCGATGCCAAGCGGCGCCTTCCTGTGACAGGCCAAGAGTCGCCAAAAGCCCCAAAAATCTCTAATCAAATCTATTTCACACCACCTCCTACGCCCTGTGATTCTGACTGAAATTCATGTTTAAAAGTGAAACAATCAACAAGGAGATGGAGAGGAACAGCTCACAGATGAAGGTGTTTCTCACACCATCTGTCTGCTGACCAACAGAAATCTCAATGTGATTGCATGGTAAATAAAGATAATTATTATTCAATATGTGATACGCACATAAAAGGCATGATCCATGAGCGCACACACGTCTACCTTCATACACTGACATACATGAATCCACAGTGAGCAGGAACAGAGATAAAAAGCTGAAAGCTTCTCCAAAGGCTTCTGCTGAAAGTCATGATAAGCTCAACAGAATTACTTTAGAGAAAAACTCCACGACAGTGAAGACCAAGAACAAAGACACAAACTGTGACGCTGGCACTGGAAAGTCAGTTTGATTCTTTAAAGTCCCAGGAGCTAATGAGCAATGAACAGTAGCAAGGTGTGAGCTGCACAGAGCAGGAGCATTTAACCATCTTACAGGAACAGAGTGGAGGATGAAGGTGTCCAGTTAAACATGAATATATTCACAGTTAGTTTGGGAAAAGCTGAAGGTCTGAAGCTACTCATCCACATCCCAGGTGAGGTTCCCAGACCTGGTGTGTCCACAGCAGTGTGAGCAGACTGGACCAGATGTCCTCAGACCAGATCTGGGCCACACCAGATTCCTCTCCAACCTTGGACTGTGCAGCGCCGTCAGAACGGTCCAATCAGAATCCATGTGGTCATTTTAACGTCTCCTCCTCTGCACATATGGCCTGTCGTCATCATTCGGCGTCGGCCCCTCACAGACTGGTAATGATAAACATGGAGGAGAGCAACGACAGCAACAAGGTCAGAGGAGAGGACCAGGATGTTTCATATGTGGTGGACGTTTATGGAGAAGCTTCTGATCAGGGCAAACCGGAAGGAACATATCATAACCCAGTGGTTTGGGAGGAAATTGGGCCATGTGACCATCGCACACAAGACCCGGTTGTTCTTGTGTTACCGATACACGTGGATGTGGAGCATAAACACACAAAGATCAGAGCTGAGATGGAAATGTAGATGAATAATGTACCTGGAGAAAGTTTGTTTAGTTTTCAACTCTGCAGGTGATGAGAGAGAGAGACGTGGAGCTTATTTAAACAATCCCAAACAACATGTTAAGTGCAGCCTCACCTCACTAGCATCAGTGTGAACACAGTCACAGTTCTAGATAACAACACTGACATCTCATTCATTCATCCTGAAAACAGATGCCTCAGATTTCTGATGGTAGAAAACCTGATCATCAGATTAGACAGGACGGGTTAGGGTTTGCTTTGCTAGGAAGCTGTTTACTTTTAACAACAGGGTGTTATTCCGTTATAATTTACTACTTTGACACAAAGATTATCCAAAGGTTGCGCTACTTCTCAGTGTAAACAGTTTTACAGTAACTCACTTATTTATAGGCCCATTGGTTTAATTTGGATACTAAAGTGGTTTCATTTTAAAAATGCTGATTTATGAATGTCATTTCATTCAGTCTCCTACATCTTTATTTGACCTCTTCAGACTCCGCCCACAGCTGATTATCTGCTCATATCACATCACTGAGACAAGAGAGAAAAGTTAAAGGACTAACGGTTTTGTGACAGCAACCATTTTAGACCCAGACGTGGAGAGAGAAGGGAGCCTTTAATCTGGGATGTTTTACCAGAGAACGAGACAGAGAGAGACGTCTGATTACCCAGAAACCAGGATGAAGAGACAGTAGGAGAGCACTCTGTGGTAATAACAGCAGAGCCGAGAGGCTGAGATATATGGGGAGAGAGAGCACTTTGTGGTAGTGACTGTAAAATAAGAAGGAGAAAGCTTCACTCTGTGGTTTGATTTCTGCTCAGATGAGGTTGTTGTGGGGCAACTGTTCAGCATGAAGCCACCCAAATATCACAACATTAAAGAAGCAACACAAAACACATCACATCTTCGCCTACAGTGAGTTTACAAGTCTTTCATTTGAACGAGGCAGAAAGTTGTTGTTTATCTCTCAAATGATGGAGATGTCGCTATCAGGTCAGAGTTCACAGCTGTTGTGGTGGGAGTCTCATGTGTGAGACGGCGACAGCGACCGTTCACTGTAAATAAGATGGGATCCACAAATGTCATCACTGTTACAGCCAGAAAAGCAAAACGAGGAAAAAAAAGATATATCGGCATTTGGTCACCCCATCTTCACATTTTGATAGAAACAGCTTAATGGTATCTTTTCTGCCAAACCTGCAACAGATGAGCTCTCTCTCTCTCTGTTGATCTAAACCAACAGCCAACCAGTGTGACTACATGTTGCATCAAAATGCCGAGAGTGAATCTTATGAGGTGCAGACGTCAGCTCTATGCAGTTGAAACCTTCAAGTGAGCCCACAGGGTCTGGACAGGAAGCCGAGAGACTTGATGGAGCAGCTGAGACTCAAAACAGCTTCCATCACGTCAACCTGCTGAAACAACTCTAATACGCACAGACACACACACATACACGTTTGCGCACTTGTGAGGACTTGCACTGACAAAACTGTCCTCAGGTTCATCTTCAGCCTAAACCTGAGCTGGACCCAAACACCAGACAAACTGAGGACTCACAGTCCAAACATGTCTGCACTGCAAAGCATTCACATTTGTCCTTACTCACAAAATGTAGCGTCCTCACTTCCCAGATAATTATGTTTGCTTTCTCAAAATTTTCAACATCACTTCTCAAAACAGCTTCCTTCTTCCTAAGAGGCCCTCACTTTGCACACGCCTGTCTGCCCAAAAATGTCCTCAACTTCTAAAACGTTCCAATTTTCCAAAACATCCTCACTTTGCAGAACAGATTTCCTCCTGAACGCAGGCGCCTGTACTTTCCAACAATCTCTTACTTTGTCACAACGTCCCAGACTTCCCCAAAAAGACCTCGTGTGTCTAAATTGCCCAACCTTCTAAAGATGTCTGGGAAAACAGTGTGTGATGTATCATTCACAAGTTTCCTCACTTTCCACTAAGCATCCTTGTTAAAAGCTTTAACTGGTCCCCACAAAGCCAAAGAACAAGCACACAGGCTATCTGCAACACACCTACAAACATAAAGTGTCTGTTTTCTGTGCACGAACCACGAGCACCTGATGTTGCATCACACACAGTCTGTTACCTCCCACATGATCCGGCCTGAGCAAACCAATGGTACGTCCTTCTGATTTCTCAGTTTATACTCGTTAACGCGAGTCCAGAGATGATGACATCACTGGGTCGGCACTGAAGACGAAAAAATAACAAATACATGTCGTGCTGAAGGCAGACGTCCGTTAGCAGCACATGGTGCGAGTGTTTCTGCACCAGCCTCCATATAATCAGCCAGATGACAGGAAACAGAGTTCACACTAAACAAGCTTCATTAATAGTCAGATCCTCTGGCAGTTGCTAAGGTCACTGACCCCGAGCGCTTGTCCCAGCGCTGTCAGCGTTCATGAGAGCGCTGGTATAAATGAGTGTTGTGCTGACTGACCGTGTGACTATAGGACCAACATGGCTGAAGCCAAATGCATCACGTGGAAGTGGTTTGATTACACAACGCAGATTGACGATGACAGACGGGATCAGCTCAGGCCGACGACGAGGAATCGACCCTGGTGTTGTACGGCCACAGCGTGATTGCTCATCGGAGCAGCGTGGCGCAACGTGGAAAACAATGAACCCCCCCCCAAAAAAACAAAACAAAAAAACAAAAACAAAACACAGAGTTTTCAGACCCGACCAGCCAGCAGTGCAGTCAGGAGGAGGTCAGCTGGCCTGGTCTGGGTCCGTGCACGGTGACTGATCAGAGCCCAGCACGGCCTCTGTCTGCGAATCCACCACGGTGCAGACTGAGGACAGTCTTACACTGTGGCTCCCACAGCCTGGTCTCCTCACATGCCTCAGCACAGATCAGCTCTAGTGTGTGCACATACATGGTCAACAGCATGAGACCTGGTTTGAGGTTCACACCATCGCTGTGAAGATGTTCTCCAGCTGTCACTCCTTCAAAGAGCTGTTTGAGGCTTCAGGTTAGAACCTGGTTTAGGGGCTAGAGGAGGGCGGTGAGTGTCTTCACAGAGACAGAAGTACAAATGTGTGTTTACTATCCGAGGCATGTGGGAGAAACTCTCATCTTTTATCCAGAGTGTGTTTTCAAGTTCAAACAGATCTTTAACCTCCAACTTTCCCGTGGGATCTCAGCTGCACACTGGGAAAACACACACACACACACACACACACACACACACACACACACAAAAGCGTACACTCATTAATTTCTCACTAAATGCTTTATTAAAGACCAGGAAGAGCAAGGCCTGGCCCAGGTTCAAACAGCAGTGCAGCTGGGACCTGTTACATTTTCGGCAGACTGCCCTCTTCGTCTCACTGGCTATAAATAGCTCCGGTGGTTGTCTCCCTTAACCAAGGAAAAAGCAGCGACACACGGGGAAAACACACACACACACACACACACACACACACACACACACACAAGCGTTTACTCATTAATTTCTCACTGTAATGTCACAGCTGCCAACACACACACACACACACACACACACAGACACACACACACAGGCTAAAGCTTGGACGTGTCCCCGACTATTTCCTGGACTGAACTCAACATTTTCAAGCAGCTTGTGTTTTATGGAGTCAGAGAGCGACTGTCTACAACGAAAGAAGAAGGAACGCCTGAAGTCAGTGATTGTTCTCATGATCATCTGTATCTGATTTCTGGATCAGTTTGTCCTGGTCTGACTGCACTTTTATTATTAAGTATAAATACATTTGCGGCGCAGCTGGCACCGAAACTATCAGTTTGCAGCACGACGATCAGTTTGACCCCGAACGCAGGAAGCAGGTCAGCAGAGGCCGTTACTCAAACCGTCAGAGGAAACACATGAGAACAAAACACATCTCTGCTGCCTCAAGCCGACCTTCTTTTTACTTACAGTGGGTACGGAAAGTATTCAGACCCCCTTAAATTTTTCACTCTTTGTTATATTGCAGCCATATGCTAAAATCATTTAAGGTCATTTTTTCCCCTCAATGTACACACATATTGACAGAAAAACACAAAATTTTTGACATTTTTGCAGATTTATTAAAAAAGAAAAACTGAAATATCACATGGTCATAAGTATTCAGACCCTTTGCTGTGACACTCATATATTTAACTTAGGTGCTGTCCATTTCTTCTGATCATCCCTGAGATGGTTCTACACCTTCATTTGAGTCCAGCGGTGTTTGATTATACTGATTGGACGTGATTAGGAAAGCCACACACCTGTCTATATAAGACCCTACAGCTCACACTGCATGTCAGAGCAAATGAGAATCATGAGGTCAAAGGAACTGCCTGAAGAGCTCACAGACAGAATTGTGGCAAGGCACAGATCTGGCCAAGGTTACAAAAAAAAATTTCTGCTGCACTTAAGGTTCCTAAGAGCAC